TTCAACCAGAATTTAAGAATTGGCTTTCCCTGTCATTTCAGTGTGAATTTGAATTGGATTGACCAAATCTCACAGGATGTTAAACTGGAAATTTTATTGGAATTTACTGAATTAAAAAAAAAAAAAAGACTGCATTCTAGGAAATGTAACAATAACGTAACGATAGTTAACTATAGATTTCAGACACTTTAGACATTTGACTAACTATAAGTAACTTTGCAACTACATGTCATCTAACTCTCCTTAATTTGCAATTGGATGTCAACTAACTCTCATTAATTTGCAATTGGATGTTAACTAACTCTCATTAAAGTATTAGTAGACTGTTATGTTAGGATTAGTAGAATAAGTTGATATACTTGCAAAGATACTTATAGGCAGCAGAATATCTATTGGGAAACCATTAAAAAGAAGTCTCACCTGATATTAAACAGAAAGTCTACTAATACTCTAATGACTGCTAGTTGACGTGTAGTTGCAAAATTAATAGGATGTCTAAAGTGTAAAGTGTGTATTATTTTATACTGAAATTTTCAGTTCAATTTCGACACAACCCTGATTTCGGTGTCCACCTTATTTTTAAGGTAAGAAGTATAGACATGGCCATTTTTAACATGAATGTGCGAGGCTTCTGGTGTCATTAGTTTCCAGTTATTTTAGCTGCAAAACAACAGTATGTTATGCTCCTTGATGTTGCAAAATGGTATCATTATCATATTAATTTAATTTTATTACATTTATTATTGTAATCAAACACACTGGATTGCAGCACAAATCATTTACTGCACTTTGTTATTCTTATAGTTTTTTACTAGCAGCTAATGAATCGGAAGTCTCGCGCATTCACAGAAAATAGCTTACTTCTGCTGTAAAAAATAAAGTGGATAAGAAGAGAAAGACGTTCTAAACGGAGTCAACTAAAAATGGACAAAAATAGAACAGAAACATTCGGCTGATGAATATAACTTACGTCAAGTAGTCATTATAAAGGTGATTGGTAAGTCTCATTCTGAAACACAGCTTCAGTTCGTTGAGTCCCAGCTTTAACAAGTTATTCACTAGAGATATCTGACATGTCATAACACACAAAAATAGATATGCTTTAAATAAATTTGTATGAAATATGTACAGTTAAAGATATTACATTCCTACAGCTAAAGATTTTTTTTTTACTAAAATATGTCAACACATTATCTTTAAATAATGCATAATTATCGTTCATGTTATACTTTCTACATTTTAATCACATTTTATAGAACATATGATCTGTCATGATCCCTTTATTGACATTATGAGATGATATGATCCCTTTATTACTTAATACTGAGAAAGAAACATTACATTATCATAAAAACGATATGGATAAAGCCTTGTCAACCGGCTTGAAAAACAGGACACAGTAACCCTGTGCAAAGTTTAGACCACTTACAAAAGGCATGACTGTGATAAAGTTGACCAAGTATCTTTTGAAAGTGGTTGTCGAACGTCCAATAATTGCACTGCAAACCACACACACACACACACACATTGAAGAACATTCATTTTGTGCTCGTAGTCTACACACAGCACAAGAAAAACAGGACAGACAGCATTTAAGTGACCTGGCATGTTCTACTGGCAACGGCACCCAGAGTAAATAATACCACTGAGAAATGCACTACAAATACAACAGAAAAAGGAAAAGGAACCTCCTAGAAACATACATAAACATGATTGAAGATCAGATAAGACACACATGATGCATTTGCATATAAAAAAACATCCCCAGATATGAGACTGTAGTCTTACAGCACGTGGTAAATGTGATCAAAGATCTAAAATCCTAAATACCTCTCAATCATGGTCCCATTATGTATAATCCAGACGTCACAGTAAGTTCTGGCCATGAGCATGGCAGCGATTAGAAGCAAATATCCTGACTGGAGAAAGAAAACAACCAATAATACAGCTGTTTATTTCAATTCTGTCACAAAATCTCTTGTATCTCACCTAGATCAAATAGCCAGTGGAATTAAATGACAGCAAATATACAGAGATTGAAACATACACTGACCTCTTTGCAAAAGGTTTGTGGCAACAGGATTTTCATGATATGACAAATGCGCCTGAAGAACACCTTGTCCACCGCAGCTTTGTCAGTCTTTCTATCCTTCTGAAAATGTGAAAATAATAGTAATTACAATCACACACAGACATGCACATGTGTATATACATATACATATACATATACATACACACACACATATATATATATATATATACACACACACACACGCCAAAACCTACACTACTACAAATTCCTGCTTAGATTTAGACTAAGGAATATAATTACATCATTGTCCAGCAGTGGTTTTGATGCCCCTTTCTCTCTACAAATAAACACAGGGATAAGGCATTAGAAAACAACAAGCTTTGAAATCAATGACACTGAGTTTCAATGTAACTCATTTCCAGAAGCACGTTAACGTCTAAATAAATGACTGCGTCCCATGTCAATGATATTTCAATGTCGTAGAGGTCGTACACCGAGTAAATAATGGCAGCAGGCATAAGAAGCAATGATCTTACCCATTGGTTTCCGAAGACAGTCTTTGTTTTAATACGTACACGGCGAACAGCAAAGCACCTGCGATGGAGGAATTGCCGGCTGTCAGATACTTACTAACAGCCGCCATGTTCAAAATGAAACCAATCAGGAAGCGACGGCCGGCAACTAAGGTCCCACGCGGTGGATTTCCTCCAGTTTTTTTCAAAGCACGACTGTTAGCGGGGAGCCTCTATAGGTCTGCTCATGCCTAAACTCACACAAACACACATAAGCACACCTCAGAAAGATCACACACACGGATATCTAGCCTACACACCAGTACTGAAGCATTCAGCCGCAAGGTGTCGGCAGAGTCACGTCGCGCTCAACATTTCTTTAGCTACGTTTTTGATCTGCTTTTTTATCATTTCATTGTGATAGACGTGTATTAGAGTTGTGATTAATCATTAATAAGGCTAAACTTTTTCTTTCATATTTCTTCTGGTGTATTTCCCCAATTATTCCATGTTACAATCAGAGGCTACACAACTCCACTACTTGAGTGAAAGTACAGATACTGCTGGTCAAATATTACTCCATTACAAGTAAAAGTTGTAAAGACAGATTTTTACTTAAGTAAAAGTGCAGAAGTACTTGCTTTTAAAAGTACTTAAGTACCAAAAGTAAATTTCCTTTTTTTGTGTCAATGCACTGTTTTATTATTGTTGTTTGTAATACTTACAATACTTCTGAAGCAACTTACAATACATTACACCTGCTGAATACACTGACTAGCTTGTAGTATCTTTGGAATAAAGAGCTTTTAGAATGTTACAAACCTATTAGGAAAAAACTAAACCAAAAAAAAGTATTATTTAACACCCCTACACCCCCACAAAAGCAGGATGGTAGTGATCTCACACAGCTCTGGACACATCTATGTGTAGCCATTCATCCACATTTGAACAGAGTGGACAGTGAAATCCTGTAAAGACAGACTGATAAGGAAGAAAATAAAAAAATCAAACCTGCTTTATAACGCAGCAACACAACTGTAGCTGTATAACTTTACAGCAGCAACACTGCTTTAACAAAAAAAATCAAAACAGCAAGACTTATTTGACATCAAAACAAAAAAATGATAAAATGCTGTCTAATCGCTCTAGCTGTACTTTGATGTCACACACAGAACGGTCTGCAGTGCTGCTTCAGTCAAACACCTATTGTGTTTTCTTAGGAGATTCACAACAGTTCTTCTGTGGCTTTATAGGTAATATTTTCACCTACACAATTTAGCAAAATCAGACAATATTGTGTCTAATATAAACCACAATATTAACTTCTTATTATTGAATTGTTGTAAATAAATATCACATTTGGAACTGGTCAGTGTTCAGAAGATGCTGGGAAATCACTTCATGTAGCCCCAAGAGTGATTACTGATAAACTGTCTGAAAAAAATCACCCACTGACTTTCAAAGCTGCTAACTACTTTCTACTTCGAGGACCTTGAGAGAAATGTAGTGGAGTGAAAAGTACAATATTTGTCTTTCAAATGTAGTGAAGCTAAAGTCAAAGTTTCCAGAAAAAATAATACTCAAGTAAAGTACCGATACTCAAAAAGTGTACTTAAGTACAATACTCAAGTAAATGTACTTAGTTACTGTCTGCCTCTGGTTACAATGGAATCCACCTCCCTGTCTCTCTTGATCATTAAATTATATTTATAATAATATTGATTTATTTTTTTATTAGAAAGTCCACAATTTATATTAAATCATGTGTATTGTAATTTTTTATATTCTACATCAGTAATCAGTGTTTTATTTATTATAATTTGTTTTCTTCCCCATTATCCCTCCCTTTTGCTTTACATTTTTACTGCCTGTATTTGATCATTTGTAATTTCGATTCAGCTTTGCATTAACTGTTGTCTTATTTAAAGTTAAAGAATGCCAATATTCTATCTATCTATCTATCTATCTATCTATCTATCTATCTATCTATCTATCTATCTATCTATCTATCTATCTATCTATCTATCTATCTATCTAGAGAGAGAGAGAGAGAGAGAGAATTAATATGTTAAGTTTATAGTTGTAATTTCTGTATTATTCTGTGCACTGGAACCCAAAATAACCATTAATTAAAATAAGTCGAGTCTTTCTTTTTGATCCAAAATGTTTAAAGTATGTATTTTGTCATAGGCCTAATATAGCCTTACTGAACAGTTAAATGCTAGAAAGAATGCTGGCCGTCATGCCTAACATATCACCCTAATGTTATCTCTAAACGAAATAAAGCCCCTTTATTATTATTGTACACTATTCCAGTCTCAGAGCAGCACATGTAATTTTGACGAGGAAAACAAGCGGCTTGTTCTGCCGCACTTCGGCAGCCAATAGGAAGTTTGCTTTGAGGGCACGTGAGCAAGTTTTGAGTCAGCCACCAGTGCCTCAGACAGTAAGTTTTTCTCCCGTCAGTTGTGATGTGAAGAGCGGTCCGTCTGCAAGCGACTCTTTTGAGATTGTTTGATGGATTTACAAAGGATTAACCCAATTCATTCTGCAGTATGATGTTCCTCATAAGCTATTCAAGTAAGTACCACTCGGTTGAGACACAAAACACAACAAGTAATTGTTAAAGATTATGTGTGAAGTGGTTAGCTAGCAGCGCTAAAGTGTAAAGCAGCTATGAAGTGGAGAACAGTTACAGTATTGAGAGGTATTAGTTATTATGTACTAGTTATATACTTATATATTAGTACTGATTATTATATATTAGTTATAAGTTCGGGTTGTCACAACGTATGTGCTCCCTAACAGCCGAAAAGTTATACACTTAATCAAAATACAGGATTTTAATAATACATAAGTGTGTTTTAATGCTTATTTGTCAAGCCAAATCTGTACGTTTAATATTGACGTAAATCCATTATTGGCCCTATTCCACCTAGTGTCTGTGTTTTTTTTCTTATTGTCCATTTCCTCTCGTATTACTGAATGTGGTTAGTTTTGGGTGACAGGTGCCAAGCCCCTGTTAAATGATAAGATCGGTGCATTGCTCGCATTCTGTAGCAGACGTGCGTCACCTGTAGACAAAGGCTGTCACGTATCATAGTGCACAAGAAAACAGTCCTGACTACAGGAATTACAGTCCCGACTACAGGGATTACAGTCCCGACTACAGGAATTGCAGTCCCGACTACAGGAATTACAGTCCCGACTACAGGAATTACAGTCCCGACTACAGGAATTACAGTCCCGACTACAGGAATTACATGATGCATCCGTAGATAATTGGGTCAAGTAGTATGAGGTCTTGAGTTCTAGTTGTTCCTAGATCATCATAATGATAGTGAAGAGCTTGAATGAGAGCCCTTTTGGGGCTGGGGAAACTGGTTTTTAAAAATTAAAGTTCCTGTTTGCTTAGAAAGGCAACCCTGGTATTTTGATGAACTTATAACATGGCAGGATGAACTACATTTTCAGTATGTAGCCTAAATAAGAAGAAATGTGTCATTTAGGTGAATGTGTTGTGTATATATCCAAACTAAATCAAAATTCACGTGACACAGGCCTAATCCATATGGAGCAACCAAGGTTGAGATACAGTAACTTACTCAGGCCCACATCAGTGGGAAGTTATAGATCACCCTTGTGGGATTTGAACTTACAACCTTCAGTTACCACTTCAGGGTGCTCATTTATAAAATTGGATTAAATTCTAAATGCCATGGATTTCATTCTGCCAAAAGTGAGGAACAAATTGGAATGTATAAAGGCAGAATCTTATGTGAATGTATTCTTGTGCATACACCAACTAAAGAGCTTGCATGCAAACTTTTTTGCACACTCATATAACAGTAATTAAGTTAATCCAACATGATTTATAAAAATATTTTGTTTTAAACAAAATTATCTTATGTTCACCAAGGCTGCATATATTTGATCAGGAATACAGTAAAAACAGGAATATTGTGAAACATTGTTACATACATATTAAATGCATATTATTGCTGAATTTTAATATGCTCATTTAATATGCTCATTTGGTGCTCAAGAAACATTTCTTCTTGTTATTAATGTTAATAGTTGTGCTGCTTAATATCTTTGTGGAAACCATCATACATTGTTTTCTGGATTCTTTGTTCAATAAAAAGTTCAAAAGAAAGATCTTTTTGTAATATAAATGTTTTTGTTTTTTTCTCTGACACTTTTGATCAGTTTAATGCATCCTTGCTGAATGAAAGTATTCCTTTTTATTTGTGACCCTGGAGCACAAAACCAGTCTTAAGTCGCTGGGGTATATTTGTAGCAATAGCCAAAAATACATTGTATGGGTCAAAATTATAGATTTTTCTTTTATGCCAAAAAATCATTAGGATATTAAGTAAAGATCATGTTCCATGAAGATATTTTGTCAATTTCCTACCATAAATATATCAAAACTAAATTTTTGATTAGTAATATGCATTGCTAAGAACTTCATTTGGACAACTTTAAAGGCGATTTTCTCAGTATTTTGATTTTTGTTCTCCCTCAGATTCCAGATTTTCAAATAGTTGTATCTTGACCAAATATTGTCCTATCCTAACAAACCATATATCAATGGAAAGCTTATTTATTCAATTTTGAAAAAAATGACACTTAAGACCGGTTTTGTGATCCAGGGTCACATTTTTACTTACCCCAAACTTTTATTGTAAATGGTTTCACAGTTTCCACAAAATTATTAAACAGCAAAAACTGTTTTCAACATTGATAATAATAAGAAATGTTTCTTAAAGGAACAGCTCACCCAGAAACTGAAAATTATGTCATCATTTACTCATCCTCAAGTTGTTCCACACCTGTATACATTTCTTTCTTCTGCTGAACACAAAAGAAAATATTTCAGAACAGTTTCTGGTCCCCATTGACATCCATAGTATTTTTTCTAGGGGTGCTCCGATTGATCAGCTACCGATCACTATCAGCCGATAATCACGTTGGGATGATTGATCGGCGGTCTCTAAAAAGGCCGATCTCAAAAAAACGATCTCAAACTGATAACACCTGCCGTGAGAGGTTTGGCACGACATGCAGCGGCACGTCTCAGTCTCTGTCCGGCGCGGGTGAAATAATTATAATGTTTCACCTTCATATTTCTTCATTAAATAACTTACAATGTAATTTGAAAAACTTGTGTGAGACGTAATTTCACAAACAGCGTGAGTGTACTGCGCGCGCTCTCTCTCTTTCTCTCTCAAAATACACAAATGTCTTCAAATCACCACACATCGCGTCTGTCTATAAGCGAGCTGCACGCTGCACAGTTGAGACAGGAATTATCACTTGCACAATCGAGGCAGTGTCACATCGTCACTAAAGTTTATAAATTGCATTTATTTTTAATTCTTGCCAGTGTTTAACCATTCAGCTCCCACACGCTCTCCTGTAGACCGTGCGCTCATGCACACTCGCAGCGCACACACATAATGCCAGGTTCACATTACTCCATTTGCAGTGCGTATGTGGTACACATTTTTTCCACGCTCATGTTAACAGATTAAAGCATTCACACTGCACCTGAGAGTGCAGAGATCGTTTCCGAGTCTATGTTTGCTGCGCTGCAAGCGCTGGATTAAAGTAACAGTACATTGTTTGCAGTAAATATGAACATGGATTGACACGAAAATGTAGTAATTACACCATAAATGCATATTATTAAAGTCTACTGTGTTTCACAGTCAACACATGTGGCTTTTTGGCTAGGTTTAAAGGGAAAGAGCACTTTTAGATAAAGAAGGCAAAAACAGATGGCACTCGTGGAGCTAGGAAAACAAAGTTCTTTATGAACCATAGGATTGCTTGTAATAAAGATTTAAATGCAAAAGAAAAGGCAGTAGAGGTGACTATTTCTGTCAATGGTAAGTTTGTGATAATGTAATGTAATTTAAGTAGTTTAAAAGTTTTGCCACTTGCTTGAGCAACTTAATATATAAATTTATAAAAAATATTAAAAAAACACTGAATAATGTGTTGCTTATATTTATTGTGTTTAAACATGTCTGTGAAAGATTGTATTACTGTACTGTGTAAAAAAAAAAAAAGAATTGCAATGCTGAAAAACATTTTCAGTGACAATGTTTGGATTTGAAATCAAAATAATGGATAAATGTTGTATTTGTGGTAAACAGCCACGGATCAGTAGCGGAGTCCTGTGTGAAAGCTGCTTCCCCTCTCACAAGAGTCACCTAAGAGAGGAATTCACCCCATTTTCAAAAATGAAATTCAGGCCCTGAATAAATGTCTAAAAATCCTGATTGGAGTATCACTATAAATAGTTATAAATGATAAAAAGAAGGTCTTTAGAAAGATCGGTATCGGTGATCGGTATCGGCAGATACTGCTTTCTGTGATCGGCGATCGGTGATCGGCCTCAAAAATCCTGATCGGAGCACCACTAATTTTTTCCATACTATGGAAGTCAGTGGGGACCAGTAACTGTTTGGGTGAGTAAATTATGACATCAATTTAATTAATGGATGAATTATTCTCTAAATAAAGAGATATTTCAGGGCATTCTGCAGATGGAGTTGAGGCCTGTGTACACATTGCACTTAAATTTAACAAATTGTTCATAGGAACATTTCGCAAACTATCATGAGTTCACATTCTACATGTGTTTATAAAGGCATCTCGTGATCATAGGCTTCAACATCCCGTATACTTTATTTAGCTGTATTAATTGATCATCAGCTTTTTGTCTCGCTTTGCCTTCAGCTCTCCACTGGCAGGAGGGCGCTTGGATCAGCGGCTGAGGTGGCTTAGTAACGTCAGAAGCGGCTGCTGGAATGTTCCATCAGAGCAGCAACAGTGGGAATAAGCGCTTGACAAGTGGTCTCTCCCAGCCCAACATCCCTGTGTCCCTGTCCCCTGGGTCCAACAAAAGGCTAGAAATGGGCCGCAGCTCTAAGACGAACCCTCTCAACGCTATGGGCCTTGACCACACCACCACCGCCCCTGGAGGGGACCCCGACTACATCATGCAACTGGTCAATGATGTGCGCAAGTTTTCTGACGTGCTGCTGAGCCTAAAGGAGGCTTTTCACTCCAAAGGTGAGGTTCTACTTAACGCTTGCTACTTCAGATGCTTTCAAAAGCTCTTTGTTGCTGTGCAGCTGTGGTTGATTTTGTGGTTTCGCAGTTTCTTTTAAAGGTGCATATGGGTCAGTCCATGCTGATGTAGTAGGTTTGTACGATGTGTTAGTGTTTCTCATTCCCATCACTGGAGGAGTGCCACGTCTGTCAGGATGCCTCGGGTAAACTCCTGGCTATCCTGCTGAGAGTGTTTCTTTTCTGCTGCACAAGGCATCTCTGAAATTTGCCTCCTTGTGGTAGAACCCACCCCTCCCCCCTATAGATATGACTGCACTTGATACACTGAGCTTGTTGTTGGTTATTTCTGTTTGCATTTTCAAGGCACTTTATGGAGAACTATGTGTTCCTGTTCTGCATTTTTGGAAACAGATTATGTTCCTGTTAGAGGATTCCTTTTAGAGAAAGTTGCTGCGATGAAAGAATGAAAAGCCGCTATTATGTTGTCTTCAGCAGTAAAAAAAAGCATTTATGACAGAGCTCTGGAGTATAGATAGTGACTGGACAATTATGGTTTGTGGTATATACACATTTAAATACTTTCCCATGTAAGAATAGCAAAACTGTCCTACCCCCAGCAGGGAGTTATGATGTTTTTCTTTGCAAAAAGCATTTCACCACCTAAAATGGTGGTCAGCAGCTAAACAAGTTTGGTAGCTATAGATTTGCTATTTCTGTCTTAAATATGTTTATGTGCACTGTGACTGTTTGTTATTGGTCATATTTAAGCAATAATTCATCTTTTTTAAATGTCTTTTTAAACTCTTTAGTTCGACTGTTATAATCATTCCAGTTTAGTTCAGCTAACAGACCAACACTACTGGTCAAACAGTTGGGGTCAGTAATATATATGTATATATTTTTATTTTATTCAGCATGGATGCTTTAAATTGATCGAATGTGACAGTAAATACATATATAATGTTACAGATTTAAGTTTTTAATAAATGCTGGTCTTTTGAACTTTCTATTCATCAAAGAAGCCTGAGAACAACATGGTTTGCAACATTTACATTTTTAATAATATTAATATTTCATATTAATAATATATTTTATAAAATATTTAATATATTTAATATAATATATTAATATAATATATATAATATAAAAATAATATTTGTATTTTTTTTCACAATATAATTTTTTTTTGATAATGTAAATGCAGCATGGCAAGCATAAGAGACTTCTTTCAAAAACATTGAAAAATCTCACCGTCCCCAAACTTTTGAACGGTAGGGTAGTGAAGGGTAGTGAAGTATTGCAGGTGGCCACAACAAAAACTTAACACAAATACCAGCAAAACAAATGGAATAAATAATCTCAATAATCCATATAAAGATTTGGTGCATATTTGGTGAATATGAACAGCTAATTCTGTTTCTCAGTTGTTCTGTCAGTGCAAATGGGATTCCAGCTGCTTTTATTACAAATGTTAAACTGTTTGGTTAAGTATTGATGAATGAGATTCTCCACACCACCCTCTGTCAAGCGGCCCGGTGACACTTCCCACAAGCACATACTTTTGACCTCCCCACTCTCCCACTGGCCTGTTCCCTCTCAGTGGAGGAGATGCTCACTGACCCTCTAAATGTATGGATTCATCCTGTCTGCACAGAGATTGATCATCACAGCTCTCCTCACCTCCCTGACTGTCATTTTATGCTAGCTAGGATCTACAAGGCAGCCAGGAGAAATGCTACAGGAACTCATCTGCGTGCTTATTTGCTCTGCTGTCTGAATGCACGTCACACACGAGATTTTTGTAGCCACAATGTGGTTAATTTAAGCTACAAAAACTAGTGGCTTGTAAAGGGTTTATCAGAAAGCTGCAGTCACAGTACTTTTTTCGTTAGTGTTTATATTGATGACTATGAGCTTGGCTCATCACTTTGATCGGTTTGACCAAACTCTTCTTGTTCCGTGATTCCTCCTCCGCCATGAAGCCCCCTCCTCCTGCATACCCCAAATTCCTTCAGAACAAATGTTCACTTGTTGCTATGGTGCCTTCGATTGACTTGTTAGGTGTGCGACACATGAAAAATGACTCTTCCTTGCTGAAATTTCTGAATGTTTTCAAAGGCACTTTTCACCTCAGTTGTGGTTGTTTGACTTTCTGGCAGCCGGGGAATTTATAAGTAGTGAAAAGTTGATGTAGTCAAATTTTTCTTAAATGGTTTTGTAGGTTCCTTCTTTCAAATCAACATATTTCCCAGTAAAACTCTCTGATTGCTGTGCACATCCAGCAAGTAAGTCAGAAATGGTCCCTTTTTGTTGTTTCTTCTGTCAAAACACATCCGAGAGCCAAGCCTAATGTGATTTTTCTTTGAATCCAACATTGAGATGTTTTTAGTGTAATGTTGAACTCCCGTGACAGTTGGACATTCAGAAGGGTGGGGTGTTTTTACTGGAAGGGCTAGGATAAATATCAAATAATTCCCTCTGTGATTTTAGAGAAACATGTCCAGAGTGAGTGGAAGTGTATTGTGGCCTGTTGACGCTCATCATGTGGGTAGATGAAAGAATGTGCTGTTCTGTTGTGAGGAAGAGGTTCTTTTAAGTGCTCTGAGTTTGAAAAGTGCTATGATAACAACCAGGAAGTATTATGTTCTTCCATGCATCGGTTCTGTAGACTGATTTATCGTAATTCAGATAACAAAACTCAGTGTTTGTCTTTTATATAAACGTACAGAATTGATTCAAGGTGAACTGGACTTTTTGCTTTGAGGCTACTTGTTTAAAGTGTACTGCACTACAAGTTTGGACACAGCAAGTCATTCTTTATTATTACTGTTTCCCACAGTTTGAGTAATAGTTAAGTCATCAAAACATAACATAACATAAAACACAACATAACAAACATAACATATAACATATAACATAACATAACATAACATAACACAAATTGAAGTATGACATATAGGGATGCACCGATATGAAAATTTTGGCCGATACCGATATGGTGGCCGATATATCGTGCATCCCTAATGACATATTATATAGACTAGTGAACAAAAAAAAAGTTTAAAACAAAAATCATATCATTCAAATTAGTGGTCGACCGATATGGGTTTTTTGACAGCCGATGCCGATATCTTAGACAGCAGGGTGGCTGATGGCCGATATAAATCCGATATAATTGTATTTATTTTAATTCATATATAAGAAATTTGAAATCATTTGAAAATGGATTAAAAAATAAACGTGTAAAATAAATATACTTATACTCTAGAAGACAAAGTATTTTTCACAAATAAATAAATATTTAATAAAAATCTAATTAAAAAGGAAGTAAACACTGTAACTAACAGGGCACTCAGTATTCTGGGAAGTTTGTGTGCATTGGGAATCATATTTTTTCAAATAAAGCCAAGGTAACACTCATTTTACATACAGCACACAGTGAAAATGACATGAATATGACAGTGGGCAAATGCATAAAGCGCAGCCGCAGCATAATTTGAAATCAGTCACGAGTTTAAAGTTTGTCGATTGCGCGTCTCCAGTGAAGCTGAACTCTCCGCCTGTCCGTATTCAATTCGCACGGACCATAGGACCGACCGTTACAGAACACGCGATCATGCAGGTCACATGCACACTTCACAAGATCTCAACTAGATTCGACTAAGTCTGCAAGGTTTGTGAAATTAAATGTTCATTAGTCATTCAAAGATTTGTTTAAATTATATAAATGCGTATTTGCGGACTGCTGACGGCAGAAAGAGAAAGTATTATAATGTTTGCCTTTAATAATATTAAAGCAATCGTTATAATACTTTTTTGTATGCATTTTAATTCCTTTGTTTAACAGTTCTATCTGTTTATTAGATAGACTTCTATCCGTATTAAACAGAACTGAATGACAACAGCAAACAAGAGGGAGAATGTGAGCACTGTGTGCTCAGGCGTCAAAATAAACGTCCCGCCTCGAACACATCAGCCAAACAGAAAAATTTATCGGCCGATGCCGATATTTGAAAAATGGCAGATATCGGCCGATATATCAGCCTTGGCGATATTTCGGTCGACCACTAATTCAAACTCCCTGCACGTTGTCTAGATTACAGCTCTGCACACTTGGGTCATTTTCACAACTAACTTCATGGGGTGCATCATGGGAGGCTTTTTAAACAGCATTGAAGCAAAGCAGTTCATATGTTTTCTAGACATTTATTGGCTGCTTTTCCTTAATTAAATGAAATAACAATCATAGTATTAGTTTTACAAAGAAATGTATATGCATCATAACATTTTTATATGAATCTATACTTGTTTACATATAAACATATCTGTCTGCATAAACTAATTTCAACCAACTTGCCTGATTTCAGGTCATGAGAAACATAAATTCAGTAAAATGTGTCCAAATTTTTTCGAATACCTCGAGTAACTCGAATACAAAAAAGAGTCTTCGTTTAGTCCATTTACTGTAACTACACATGGAACACAGCGTTTCCCCACGGACCATTATTACTGACGTACAACCCGATAAACGCTGGACCAGACCATAGACTGTATAAAAACATGGACCAGACTTTAAAAAAAAAAGACTTTAAATCAATATGGTGGCTAGTCATAATGTCCCTACGTTAGCTATGTTTTGTGAAAGACTAAACGCCATTGTGCATAAAAATACCACAGAAAGAAAGTTAGTCAATATCACATGAAGAGTGCCAGTTTTCACCTCTAAAATCAGCATGATTACAAATGTGACTTTATTGAACAGTTCAATAAACAAGAAGGTAATATTATGAGACTTACGTTTTAGACACTATATTGCCTGTTTTTGCTTTATTTTGCCAAATGATTCGGTTCAATCGCAATGACTCACTTCTTAACAGAGACTTGCTTCCACCTGCTGGCAGTTTTTTTTCGTTTTTAAAATAATTTGAAATATCAGTATTCAATGTTTTATGTTTAAAATAACAAAATATTATTTATGCATTTGTAACTGCAGTTTAAAT